ATCTCAGTACTTCTTCTGTGAAAACATTTGATGAACGGTTTGATTTGTAACTAAAACTAGTGCAAACGGGATAGCTGATAGTACAAGATTCTGATGGAAGTAACCGACTATTAAAACGTTTAACTAAAAGATGGAAGTTTATCGTTGGCTTCCTTTCGGTACCCAGAATTTTGGAGAGGTTCAATTAGTATAGTAATTTTTTACGTAATTCTTATTAAGAAATCTTACATTTTGCTTTTATAAAAATTGCAGATAAGTATACTGCATGCTCATTTAAAATAACTTCAAATGATAAAAAAAAAATTAAAATGCCGTGTTTGTCTACTTCATTAAACCTTGATAATAGTGAATAAATCATTACCAAAGATCATTAAAAAAGTAGTTTGGGAAAAAACAACATAATTAGTATAAATTGTACTGTGTGCTTTAATTGGTTAATTGAACTTCTAAATTTAGCGAATGTACGTATGCAGGTATGTTGTTACCTTTCTTTTTCTGAATTTTGAAGGTTCGATTTTTATGTCAAGTTGAACAACTGAGCATTACGATAAGAAAATTTATTAAATTTGATTTGCTGTAATACCGATATTGAGGCTGATAATAAAGGGGCTCTTGAATTTTTTAGGAGTCTGAAAATATTTACTAAGCATTAAGAAGAGATAATTATGTAAAAAAAGTACGTAGAATCTCAGGTGCCGACAGTTATCGGCTATGACATCAAATTAGTTTATCATTCCAAAAATATATGATCATCCTATGGTCGTTAGTTCTAAGACTGGTTAAACACGTACCTCCACTCTTTTCTATCCTGAGTTAATCTTTGCATTTCCTTAAAACTAGAACATCCCACATCCTTAATTATTTGCAAACAGTAATCTAACCTAGGTCTACCTCTTTCCCGCCTAACTCCTGTTTCTGCCTCTAATATGTCTCTGACTAGACCTTCATGCCTGAGAAGGTGTCCTACCAACCTATCTTGCCTATTTCTTATTGACTTCCATAGAGTCCTCTGTTCTTCTATTCTTGCTAATACCTTCTCATTTCTAACCTTCTCTATCCACGGTATTCTTAGTATTTCTAAATTAATCGTTAGCTAGCATGTAAGTAATTTCTTTTTATTAAAGGCGACTCGACTCTGCGCTTTTTATCCCTACTACTCCTTCCGTCCTGACTTATTTGACTTTCTAGATACCTAAAATCAGCCACTTCTTCTAATTTTTCGTCTCCTATCTTTATATTCGTTCTTTTATTTATTTTCATACCATACCGCTTCCATTTTATTTAAATCTATAAAAAAACGCTCGTGAAGTTATTGGGAAACGAAAGGTATATATTAAGCATTAAGAGGTGATAATCATAAAAAAAGTACGTTAAAACTTGTGGTGCCAACGGTTTTCACGTGTGGTGTCAAATCTTTACGTAAATTACTTGTTAGAATTTTATGATCAATTATTACTAGTTACAGTGAAAAGGTAATTTATTCTGGGCAAAATTGGCGATGTAATTGAACTTTATAAATACAGTATAATGATTTTTAGTGGTAAATACACGAAAGAGAAACCGCTAGTGTACGTACAAATTGTCACATTTTGAAAATTCTAAATAAACTTTGCTATTTTCTATTTTGGATTCAGAGGATGTAGGATCAATCCTTCAGTTAAGACGAATTACTTATTATTTGAAACGGTTAGTAACATTATCAATAGTTCTTCAGGTATGAAGTGAGTAGATTACTATTTTATATTTTTCGATTTGAAAGATTAAAATTCCACAAATACGTTTAAAAGTCTGCCAAAGTACCAGGAGCGATACTTATCAGTCCAATTCCTTTCATTTGATTTTATGTATTGATGTTTCTATATTGATTGTTTTTAGTTGCACATTGTTTAGCTTCATTGTATATTAGCGGCATGCAGACCATAGTTTAGCCCTAATATCCTTGGATCATTTAGACAAATACTGGGTTAATATTTCACATCACAGATAATCTTTGATATTCCCGTACTCTCTTTACTTAATACCTATTCGGTGCATTGTGCCATAAAGAGAGTTTATATTGTATCCACTGCGTATACAAAGATGCGTTAATATGTATTTGCCAATTAATGTAATTTGTTCTTTGTAGGTTAGACAGAAATCCTTATCAAAGCTGTTGCGGATGGCTTATATCTGGAAATTCGCCAACTGTCCAGTTAAAAAGTCTTCACCGTTTGAGTACCAGGTAAGGGACTACTTCTTTGAAAGATGTGATTTGACCATGTAAGCAAGAAAAGTGATACCACACGAGTTGCGAAAGGCTCGAAATTTGAAATTCTTGCATTTAAAATGCAAAAACAAAATACAAAATACCTATTTTATCTTGCATTTAAATACTCTTTTGAGTAAAGCATTTTGTATTTTATTTAAAATGTTTTTCCAAACAACAAAATACATTTTTACCCTTAAATGTTTTGCTTGTATCACCGATCAAACATTATATAAATTGAGAATGAAAGTTGCTCACGTTGGCCATTGAAGGTATTAGAAGCTTAGGGGACAAAGGGACATTTCATGAATGCCTTCTAATACTTTAACTGAAGAGAGCCCAAAAAATTCTACACTCCTTGGAAACGGATAATCTAAAATATTGGATTGATATTGTTTTCAAGGTTCAATGTCATGATCCAAGGAATTTTGAAATTACCTTTAGCAAGGAACTATGAAATTCTATGAATCAAAAAAGTATTTGCATTTGGTATTTAAATACTTTTAAAAAATCATTTTGCACATCTCTACGCGCAAGTAATTGTGTCTATTTTCCCACATGTAAACTAATATAGGGTTGTCACTATTGATAGTATGAGGTAGTATGAGAGTACTAAAGCGTGCATAACCAAATGCTCTTTGAACTTAATGGAAACAGAGCGTGTAGTTTGCCCAACATACCTCTTATTACAATCTTTACAATCTCCGGCTTATCTAGAACAAGAACTGTATCTTTAAAGTTGTAAAGAAGAGTTTGAAGAGATTTAAAGTTTGAATTACAGGCGATTCTAAAAACAAGTTTACGAAAACTACCTAAGCGTCTTCAAGTAAATTTTGGTTCATAATAATATGCTTGGTTTTGCTGGCCTCTGTTTGAAAAAGATTCTTATTGACTATTTCATCAATAATATAACTATAATAACGATAATATTTTTAGCTGTATAAGATTCCTTATGTACAAGGAAATTAAAAAAGTGGTTTTATGTTACTAACAATGATTAAAGGAGTTGGTCATAAATGTATATGTATTTATTTTTCATCATCATCATAAGGTCGTCAGTCCTAAGACTGGTTGGACACGTACCTCCACTCTTTCCTATCCTGAGCTTATCTTCGCATTTCTCTAAAACTAGAAAATCTGACATCCTTAACTATTTGCGAACAGTAATCTAATCTAGGTCTACCTCTACCCCTCCTAACTCCTGTTTCTGCCTCTAATATGTCTCTGACTAGACCTTCATGCCTAAGAAGGTGTCCTACCAACCTATCTCGCCTATTTTTTATTGACTTATGGTTAGATAAATATATTGTTGTGATTTTTCGTTCTTTTATTAATTACAAAAGATTTACCTACGTTAAAAAGTTTTGGCATGTTGGTTTGAATTGTCAGTTGTATGCGATCTGTTATTTTTACATTAATTCCTTCAAGTGCTTCATAGTTCTGCTTTGTTGGAGTTATGCGTTTGTGCTTGGAATTATCCACCGTGGCCGTCAAACTAATGGGATTATTTGCAAAAATCCTGTTTGTTTAATTCCTCACAAGGCCATATTTTATGTAAGACTAAATCGAAGTTTTAGTTGTTGCGTTGCGTTTTCCTTTCGGACGCGTTATGAGAGAAACAAGCGACTTTTCGTTTGAATAAATCAATAAGTACTAAGAATTTTAGTTTATAAAAAAGACAAATCAAAAAGTGTGTTGAAAATGGCTGATGCTGAAACGATAGACTTAGATGATGGCGATAATGAAGTCCAGAGAAGTAGTACATTGCCAAAAAACGATGTTAAAAGACGTGTGAAAGTGAGAATTAATGACGTGAACGCTAGAGACGACAATGGTGAGGAAACTGCTGAACACGGAGAAGCAGCCGATGAAGAGTTTGAAGTGGAGAGTGAAGATGAACGGTAGGATTATATTAATTTCTGTAATGTTATCTACTAATATTCACTCTCAACAATAGTATTTTAAATATTTGTCAAGGGCCTTACGAAGGAATACGCTTCTTGGTTAGTAATTTATGGAGCGCTAAACCTTAAATTGCGCTCCACGTCAGCTGTTACAGTCAATATAAAAGTGACCGATCAAGAATTTGATGCTTTTTAATTACTTGATTCTGTTCATTATTTGAGTACGTGCATACCTTTTATTAAATCAAATAAAAAAAAAATTAGGTATTGTAACATAAAATGAGCTTTAACTTTTTTAAAGTTATCTAGTGTTAATTTCTTTCTTTGAGGAAGAAATAAATTAATTTTACGTAAATTACTTGTTAGAATTTTATGATCAATTATTACTAGTTACAGTGAAAAGGTAATTTATTCTGGGCAAAATTGGCGATGTAATTGAACTTTATAAATACAGTATAATGATTTTTAGTGGTAAATACACGAAAGAGAAACCGCTAGTGTACGTNGCATACCTTTTATTAAATCAAATAAAAAAAAAATTAGGTATTGTAACATAAAATGAGCTTTAACTTTTTTAAAGTTATCTAGTGTTAATTTCTTTCTTTGAGGAAGAAATAAATTAATTAGTAAACATTTGCTTTTTTTATAAATATATTATTATTATTATGAATAGTTTTATTTTAAACGATAAGATATAATTTTCTATAAACTTGTCCATTTTTTTCATGGTAATTACTAATTAATTTTATTTACTGTAGTAAAGGGAAAGGGTCGATTTTATATGAATATCTTTGTAAAATAGAACTTTATTTATTTGAAATTCACAAAGTACAAATATATACATACCTAGGCTTATTATCATTTTTTGATATGAAATACACAAATACGTTTATTACCTTTATTTTTAAGATTAGGCACTTACATGCATTACACTTATTTTAAATAGATTTCTGATATTTACATTCTTCTTGATTAACATTTATTGACATAATTAAACTCGTTGACACAGAAGTACATTAATAAATATGAATTGTGTGCATACGCACTCCAGAATACATAAATACGATTGATTTGCGATCTTAATTATTTTATTTTATTTTTGATTCGTCCAAAGCACCAGATAGTGTGGAAATACTTGTTGTCGAGAAATGTGCGGAAGCTTTTCGTTCCGCATCCGGATTTTCTTTAAGGCAGCATATTTTCTCGAGACCTAACCAAAGAGAACGTGCATTGTCGTTCATGACTATGAAAAAAATAAACATAACAAATCCTTGCAGTGTGGCCGTTATGCAGAAAAGGTATGCGAAAAATATTTTCGAGCTCAAAGCCGTTAGAAGCCCGAACGCCCACGATAATCCCAACAAGAAGAAAAGCAAGAGTGCTAGAAGAAATTGAAGCTTCATATCTTTGCCGTTCGCGCCGTAGGCCTCTACCTTTCTCGAACATACGTTTTTCATGATAAGAACGAATATTGAGACATTAATAACGACCATGATCCCGATGGGAAGAACAACGCCATACGTATAAAAATTGTTGGTCGGATAACATAGTCCGTAAGAATTTTTATGATACGCTTGTCCAAGAGACACAATGTTGACAACGGCGACTGGAATAAGTGGCAGAAGCCAACCGATGATCGATACTTTGGCAATCAAGTGAGGCGTTGGCTGTTGAAATACCGTCACGAACTTCCTATATTGCAAAAATGCAATCACCATCATCCAACAGAATTCCGAAATCATGAAATAATGTAAAAATATAGCAGCCACAAAGCATTCTATACCATCAACGTCGATGTTGTCAGCGACGAACGTTAGACACATTTGTGCCGTAAGACAGACGGAAAAGTTTAAAATGATTGTATTACCGTTGTGTTTCCTCCATCTTTTGAATATGACAGCCGTTAACAGTATCGCCAATAATCCAGAAAACGACAGAACGCTACCTACGATTGTTATAACCTCAAGAGCTACTCGATCCGTTGTACTTAAATCAATAGAGCCATTTCCCGAGCTACTACCGAGTACCAAAACAGAAAAATGCGTGAGATGATGAGATTGACAAATTACTCGCGTTCGATTCACATCTGTTACAATGTTCTCTGAATCCCAGCGGCCTTTGATATTATTAAGTAACCTATTTTGGCCGTACTGCCAATACGCGCAAGAGTCAGTTGTTTTGTTACTTTTAAAAGCTATAATAACGGGCGAAAACAGTATGCTCTTTAGACCTGGTATTATAACACTAATCGGGACGGAGTTCCCTGTTTCGCTAGTGCCGTCGCAGTTAAACAGACGATGGTTACTGAAAAAAGTGACCGCCATCGTTATGTTAACATCAGTGAAGTAAGTTACAAGTTCTTCATATGTTGCGTTTGGTATGAAGACTGCTGCTTCAACATTTTCGTCGTACAGTATTTCTTCGCTGGTATTAGCGTATAAGGTTATGATTTCTGCTTTTTGAAAATCAGATTTTTTATACAGCGCCACACCCCTGACGTAAGACAAGTCTTGGATCTTGATTATAATATTGTCGGTCAAAATGAGAGATTCCGAAAATCCAGATGAAGTTGGGTTAGAAGTCAGAGTGTCTACAACGTTCAAAATGACATCAGTCGAATTCAGTTTCAATTGGGTTTTCTTCATTAGATCGTGGTCATAATCTAACGTTGCACTAACTGTTTTGAGAAGAACTAGACCGTCGTACTTGCCGTGTTCCTTTATAAGAACGTTCAAAATTTGCGAAATTAGGTGGAATTCTATCATCAAAGGGTTTGAGATGTTTTGTACGAGCGTATAAAGGATTTCGTCACTTCTGTTGTATTCGTTTATGCCATTGTGGAATAGACCGTGAAGCTCCAAAAGGGATTGCGGATAGGAATAATTTTGTGCGCATGAACCACTTACTTCGGACCATTGTCCTCCTACAGTAAAATTGCCCTCGCACGTCCGGGTAACGGGCGAACCGTCTTCTTGAATACACAGTTCTACGGGTATAACTGTGGATCCTATGGTGGTATTCGGCCAGGTTAAGTTCATGCCCGAACTATACGTAAAAGAGCCCATGCAAAAGTAGCTGTTTAATAACGTAGAAATGTTATGAATGTAACGATGTTGGCTATCAATTCCTTTCAGCGAGTTTTGCAGAACATCGTACTCTTCAGTTAACGAATAATCATTCCTTTGGGTCGACAGGTGAATTATTATTTCGAAATAGCCATTACCTGCAATTATAAAACTAATAGGCCTGACTGCAAGAACAATGTAAGTCTTTTCAGTCATGTTGCGAATTGCTTCGGTTGCTTGGACGTGGAGCTTCGTTTTGAACGGGTCGACATTTATTGATATGCGTACGAATACGTGAATCGCATAGTTCGTTCTGTAGACGTTGTTGTGGTAGTAGGCGATCGTGGGTTTGCTCTGTATCACGGTCATGTTCGGATGCGAAAAACCTTCACACCAATACAACGCTGGATAGGCGTTGGTTAAAAATATTTTGTAAATGTACTGGTTGGTATCGGTGGGAACATCGGGAACGTATCTTGTAATTTTCTCGAACAGTCCGTTGCTGTTCATGTTTGAAAAACAGTACAACGCGAAGTGCCGTCCGAAATAATTGCTAATTTCCGTTGGATTCGTCACCACAACCGTTAAGAATCTGGTATCTTCTACGTTTCTCGTGGAAAAATAGGTCTGCACCGATGCCAATTCGCCTTGTACTGAAACTTGACAAAGTCCACATGTAAGCCCTCTATCGGGGGTTAGAATCCATCCGGGATTTCCTTTGAATACGAAAGCTGCATAAGAGTAATAAAAATTCGTTTCTGTAGTCCATAGAAAATAAGAGACTTCGGAATTATCACTAGACCATAAAAAGTTTCCCATTCTCATCTGGTATAAACCAAACCAACAAGTATCGCTGTTAGGAAAACCGCCCAAAATGAGCAAACTCTGGTAAAGTTGTCGGGGTTCTGCTAAACTATCACAAACGTCATTTCGAGTTTGGAGACCGAATACAGCCTTTTGACAAAAGCAGTTTCCACTGTCGATGTCTAAGTTTGCGTTAATGCATGATAAACCAGGATTTTTATCGGAACAATATCTGCTAATTTTGGCAGGTGATGCACTGTAAATGCACAGGGCCTTGTGATTTTCACTACAATTAGTTGCCCTGAGTGTATAATTGTAGATGGTCATGCAGTTTGTAAGAAATAAATTTACTGAATTGTATTCGTAATTCGTTATGGTTTGCCCGTACCTTTCCGATGGTTCTGTCCAAACGAATGGTGCCAAGTTTACGTCATCAATTTTACGAAAGGCTCTTACCCAGATCACTTCGTTTTTAAAAATTTCGTATAAGAAGGGGTCGTAGTCATGTGCCAAAGAATTGTTGTATGGGCATCGAGGAGGATATGGATGTTTGTCTTCGACCAATATGTAACATAGTTCTTGGGATGATTTAAAAAATGTAAAGCCTGGTGGACATGGTGATTTGGTTGGAACACTAGTCGTATCAGGGCTTATTGAAGCTGAAATTAATACGTTTATATATATATGAGTAGTTAAACGGCACATTGTTCTTCAGATTTTGAAGATGCATTTGTTTAATATTTTAATAAAAGCTGTTATAAAGTGTTTTAGTTTAATGTCAAGCAACAGGTAGTATATCGCCTTCTAGTGGTAGGTATTTGCTGTTAACAATTATTAGCTAACAGTTGTGGCACTAGATGGCAATATGTTTATTGCTTATTGTTTCAAATTGTTGATATTATTTTAGTATAAAATTTAATATATATTTTATTAAGGAAAAATTCTATAACAAAAGCAATATTGGAAGCAAGCAAAAAAATAGGGAAGTAAAAATGAGAAGATTGCAGGAACATCACACTTAGGTACTTCGTTTCTATCGGCGTGAAACAATGTTGCGCAAGAAATTTGAAATTTGATAGGAAGGTAATTATTACATTACAGGTATAAATTGCTAACAAAATGAATATATTTCTAATAAAGGTATAGTATTCCATAAACAATTCAAATTGAAAGGTTTTATAAAGTAAAAATGAATATTTTTAGAGATGCAGTAAATACAGTGGTTTTGTTGATAATGAAAATGAAGTATGGAGAATGAATTATTTTAGTCGTAATTATTTATAAATAAATATTGTCGTACTCACTATTTGGGCCTTTTTGAGAAGTCCACGCATTCTGAAATACAAAATGGAGAACGGCGTGTTAGTTTAAATAAAAAAACATTACAATAATTTTAGTTTTATTGCGTAAAGACAATTTTTACAACCACTCTATGTTTGTGGCTTACTTGATTATAGTTATCACTGTTTTTGTTCTCTTTGTTTACACTTACGATTTCAATGACAATGAAAACGATAAACACAGACAGTGTCCACCAAGAGCCGAATATCGTCATCACAGCGATTTTTTCACAATTTTTTTTATATTTGCAGATCGGCACTTTCGAAGCATACGTTAATACGCATCTATCAACGGAGGCTTTGATGCCGTCTGGTGGGTGTTTAAGGGTGATTGTTATGCTTGACGAAGTTTAATAAAATTATCACTTTTTGGATCAATTCAGAGCCCGAAAGATTAGATAAATGTGGACTTTTTGTGCCGATTCTACTTATGCAAAAGTTGGTAAAACTAATTACACGTTTAATTAGTAAATTACTAAATACAATAAATATTTTCGTAAAAGTACGGTGTACAACATGCAATTGCACACTTTCGCAGCCAGTCAGCACTTTTTTATCAGCGATGTTTTGGCATTTCTAACGTCTCTCTGAAAAAAAATTCTTGTCTTTGAAAACTACTGATTTACCACACATATCACATCATTATCTGACGAAAATCGTTTATTATGCGATGATTATATGTTTTGGGAGCAGTACTAGGGGCCAAATCTGGAAAGTGTATATGGCGGATGCTCAACTAATTCGAAGCCCTCCATAGCAACTGCAGCTATTGTAATGGTAGATGTTCGATAGGGTGAATTATGGCGATGCAAGAGAACACATTTTCGCAACTTTTTTTCTTTTATCAACTGATCATCATCATAAGGTCGTCAGTCTTAAGACTAATTGGACACGCACCTCCACTCTTTTCTATCGTGAGCTAATCTTCGCATTTTCATAAAACTAGAACATCCGACATCCTTAACTATTTGCGAACAGTAATCTAATGTAGGGCTACCTCTACCCCTCTTAACTCCTGTTCCTGCATCTAATATGTTTCTGACTAGACCTTCATGCCTGAGAAGGTGTCCTACCAACCTATATCGCCTATTTTTTATTGACTTCCATAGAGTCCTCTGTTCTCCTATTCATTCTAATAACTCTTCACTGATGTAATTTAGTAATTAAATTGGCACAATAAGCATCTCTAATTGTGCTTCCTTTCTGCATTAGATTTACTAAAATTACGCTTTCAGAATTCCAAAACACGGATAATATGACCTTTCCTGTTGAAGGTTGCATCTAGAACTTTTTCGATGGTGATCAGTCCCGATGGGTTTCAATTTTTGAATTCTACACCTGTATCACTTTTGCTTCATATTTTTATCATTACGGAATCGCTAATGAACATGAACAATGTTCGTATTCTTATAACAGCATTAGCTGTTGTCCGAGACTTTTCGTCCGCGTATAATTTGATTACATCGTAAAACCCGATTTTATAAACTTTAAAAAGTGTTCATTGTAGAAATTATATCTTCCTTACTTAAAAAGATATAAAAAACTTAATTTGTTTTATCATCATTAATTTTCATTTATTAATTTTATTGTGTGCTTACATTTGCTGATGATATAGCAGTATTAGCATCTAGCAGGGAGTTAGAGATAGCCTTAAATAAAATAGTAGCGGCATTGACAAAACAGACAGCAGGTAAAGGTTGGTCTGTGTTCTGTCAGAGCTGCCTGTGACGCGCTGATGAGATCCAAAAAGATCGAAATCGCGATCCGCGTCTGGCAGTTTCGACAGAATACAGACCACTTCGAATTATTTTGTTCGAAAAGTGCAACG